ACTTGGGAAGCCTTCTTAGAAGTCATTATGCCTAGTTATGCACACTCTTCTCTCCACCTTATAAATGCCTTTTCTTCCTAATGATTTTATTTTATTTGCCTCTGAAGTTTGTAAGTTCTGATTTTTTCCTCTCCTTCCTTTCTGTTCTCCCTGCTATCATTCCATACCAAGTCTCCTCCCTTTCTTTTTCATACAATATATGCATGTCAGTTTATATTTCTTTGGCCAATATACTCATCTTGTCTTTCTCTTATACAGAAAAAGACAAGCTTCTTTTTCTGGCTTCCCAATGTTTTCCCATATATTAGTAAGTCCAGATTCTCATGATTTGCATAGGGCAATCTCCATATTTGGTTCCTACCAAGCCTTTTTGTTGAGTAGTATCTTCTGTAGTTCTGACACTTTCCTATTGCTTCCATGTTGCTCACCTCATTTCCACCAACTGGAATTTTCTAGCCTCCTGGCTACTATTTGCTTTTGTTTAACATCCTTCTGTTAAACAAAAGTCTGCTGTTAACTTCTCTATCTCATAGTGGGCTATTTCATTTTGAGTACTGAAAATATTCATCATTGGTATCATTCATTTTCTATCTACTTATACAGCCCTCTTGTTATTTTCTACTCTGTTATCTTTTAAAATTCTGTGGACAATTAAGTTGTCTAACTGCATTAGGACAAAAGCCCTGGTCTCAAATCTCTGACTCCTTTGCTCAGATTATAGGCACATATTAAGAAGGTTTTAATGTTGTCAGTTTTTCTTGAATTGGCAGAAATCCAGGAAACTGGGGACATTTGAAGATGATTTGGGGCATTTGGTGATCTTTAGGTTGATCCAAATTATACTGGTTCTCTCAGTGATACTGGTCTCACCTTAGAACAGTTAATTTTCTGGATTGACTCCAATTTCTGGAATGTGAGGTAGAGTTGTTCATATGTTATGCTGGGGTAGGCCCTTCATTTATGCAGTGATTCTCTAAGTGTCAATCTAATCTCTTTCCCCACCTCTCCCCTCCTTGTTTTAAAAAATGGAGTCTTTTGGGACTTTGTCCCCATAACATTTATTTTTATTGTAAGATTTTATATTATTACTAGAGGCCCGGTGCACGAAATTCGTGCACTGGGAGGGGGGGGGGGGTGTGTGTGTCCCTCAGCCCAGCCTGCACCCTCTCCAATCTGGAACCCCTTGAGGGATGTCCAACTGCCCGTTTAGGCCCGATCCCTGTGGGACATCCCTCTCACAATCCAGGACTGCTGGCTCCCAACCACTCGCCTGCCTGCCTGCCTGATTGCCCCTAACCACTTCTGCCTGCCAGCCTGATCACCTACTAATGACTCCCCTGCCAGCCTGATCGATGCCTAACTGCTCCCCTGCTGGCCCGATTGCCCCTAACTGCCCTCCCCTGCTGGCCCAATTGCCCCCAACTGCCCTCTCCTGTCAGCCCGGTCGCCCCCAACAGCCCTCCCCTGCAGGCCCGGTCCCCCCCAACTGCCCTCCCCTGCCGGCCCGGTCACCCCCAACTGCCCTCCCCTGCAGGCCCGGTCTCCCCCAACTGCCCTCCCCTGCTGGCTTGATCACTCCTAACTGCCCTCCCCTGCAGGCCATCTTTTGGCAGCCATCTTGTGGCCACATGAGGGCAGCCATCTTTGACCACATGGGGGTGGCCATCTTGTGTGTTGGAGTGATGGTCAATTTGCATCCTGGTCATGACTAATTAGCATATCTAGTCATGGATAATTAGCATATCTGGGCTAATTAGCATATCCTTATATAGGATTTTTAAAAAATATATTTTATTGATTTTTTTAAAGAAAGGAAGGGAGAGGGTTAGAGAGTTAGAAACATGGATGAGAGAGAAACATCGATCAGCTGCCTCCTGCACACTCCCTACTGGGGATGTGCCCTCAACCAAGGTACATGCCCTTGACCGGAATCGAACCTGGGACCTTTCAGTCCACAGGCCGACATTCTATCCACTGAGCCAAACCGGTTAGGGCAAGATTTTATATTATTAGCTTTTTCACATATTCTCTTGTTGGAGATCATGTGATATGGTCTTCATATAATAAAACTAGTGGTATATATTTTTTAAAAACTGTATTCACTGTATTAGAAAAACAAGGTAGTGGGTGTTTTTTTGTAACTTTATTGAATATTTAAACTTTATTTTTATCGTTGACACTATTACAAAAGTCCCCATTCTTTGCCCCCCCGCCCCCCACCTGCCTTTTGCCCAGTTCTAGCACTACCTTCCCTTCTGGCTGTCACTGCACTCTTGTCTGTGTCTATGTGTCATGCATATATGTCTATTATGTGTAGTTGTGCGTAGACACTATCATTCTCCATTCTATTTCTCTCATATGAAGTTGGACAAGATATGGTACTGCACTGAGGAACTTCCAGATGTTTTCCAAAGTGACTAAACCATTTTACATTCCTACCAGCAATGCATGAGGGTTCTAGTTTTTTCATGTCCTTGCCAACACATCTGTCTTTCTGTTTCTTTTTGATGTTATTGTAAGTGGAATTGTGGGTGTGAAATAGTATTTTATTGTGGTTTTGATGTGCTTTTCACTGATGACTAATGTTGTCAAGCATCTTTTTATGTGCTTATTGGCTATTTACATAGCTTCTTTGGAGAAATGTCTGTTTACATCTTTTGCCCATTTAAAAATTCAGATATTTTTTCATTTTAAAGTTGTAGAATTTTTTTATATATATATCCTGGATACAAATATCTTATGAGATAAACGATTTGGAGTTTTTCCCCACCTTTTTTTAGGGTGTACTTTGAAACATGAAGTTAATGTTGATGATCCAGTTTACTTAATTTTTTCCTTTGTTGCTTGTGCTTTTGGTGCCATGTAACATTTGCTCTTCATTTTCTTTGAAGGATTTTATAGTTTTAGCTCTTTCATTTAGGTCTTTGATCTCTTTGATTTAATTTTTGTCTATGGTGTGAGATAGTCTAACTTCATTCTCTTGCATATGGATATGTAATTGTCCCAGCACCATTTATGTTGATAGTTTCTTTATTGCATTGTTGTGGCATCCTGTTGAATTGACCATAAATGGGAGGCCTCTGTCTGGACTCTCAGTTCTATTGCATTGATGTATCTGTTTACCCTTAGCGGTATGTCTGTATCAAACTGTCTTGATTACTGTAGTTATGTATAGTAAGTTATAAAATCTAGAAGTGTGTTAGCCTTACTGTTTTGTTTCTCTTCTCAAGATTGTTTTGCCTATTCTGAATCCCTTGCATTTCCATATGAATTTTAGGATTAGTTTGCCAATTTCTGCAAATAAAAAAGGCTGGTAGGATTTGATAAGGGATTGTTTTGATTCAGATCAATTTGGGGACTATTACATCCTAAAGATATTAAGCCTTCTTGTCTATGTACATGGCTGTCCTTCCATGCTGGAGGTTAAAGCCAACAGCAGTTAGCATATTAATGCAAAAAGAAAACATCGTAAGGCCAATGGACTTTGATATTCAGCAGGGCTGAAAATCAGCATAATATTGCCCTGTTGTGGGCTCAGTGGCTCAAGGCAATTTCCTTACCTGATAATCCTTACATTGTTTACCAAACTCTACTTTTGATCTGCCTGTATGCCTTGCTGAAGGGCAAATGTATATTCAAGTAAATAAGTAGTGGACCAGGCCAGAAGTTGTTGTCTCTCTCTTCAAGAAAGAGGCTCCACCTGGCCCCAAATGCCTTCTAAATTCATATTTCTTGTATAGCATATTCATTTGTGCATCGGCCCCTCCTTCGGACCCTGAACCTAGCCTTGAAAGTCGTGGCACTTCCATTTGCTTAGGTCTTTTTTTAATCCTCACCTGAGGATATATTTTTATCGATTTTTAGAGAGAGGAAGGGACAGAGAGAGAGAAGAACATTGATGTGAGAGAGAAACATCAATCCATTGCCTCCCTTACTCGCCACAACCAGGGATTGAACCCGCAACCTAGGTATGTACCCTGACCAGGAATTGAACCCACAATTTTTTGGTGAATGGGACACTCCAACTAACTAAGCCATCCACCAAGGCAGGTCTTTAATTTTTTCAACATGCTTTGTAGTTCTCAGTGTACAGGTTTTATAGTTCTTTTGTTAAATTTATTCATAAATATTCTTTTTGCTGTTTTTATTAAGTGGAATTGTTTTCTTAATTTGATTTTTGGATTTTTCATTGCTAGTGTGTAGAAATAAGATTGAGTTTTGTTTGATCTTATATCTTACAGCCTTGTTGAACTTATCAGTTTTAATAGTTTTTTAGTGGAGTCCTGATAATTTTTTTGTATATAAGATCATTTCATCTTCAAATAGAGGTAGATAACTTTACTTCTTCCTTTCCAATATAGATTCTCTTTACTTTTCTTTTTTTGCCTAGACTCCTTTCCAGAATATCTGGTATAATGTTGAATAGAAGTGGTGAGAGTGAACATTGTTGTACTGTATGTATTGTTCCTGATCTTAGGGGAAAGCATTCTGTCTTTCACTATTAATTATGCTGCTAGTGCTCCAGTTTGTGTAGGTATCCTTTATTGTATTAGGGAAGTTCCCTTCTATTTTTACTTTGTTGAATGGTTTGTTTTTTCATGAAAGGATGTTGGATTTTTGTCAAATTCTTTTTCTGTGTTGAGATGATCATGGTGTTTTGTTTTTGGTTTTTGTTCCTTTATTAACATGGTGAATTACATTGATATTAAACCAAACTTGCTTTCTGGGATCCCTCTTTTTCATGGTATATAATCCTTTGTTGCAATTGGTTTGCTAGTATTTCCTTGAGGATTTTTGGTGACAATATTCATAAGGTATATTGGTCTGTAGTTTTCTTTCCTTATGATGCATTTGTTTTGTTCTGTAATCACAGTAGTATTGCTATCATATAATGAGTTGGGAAGCATTCTTTCCCTTTCTAGTTCATGGAACAGTTTATGAAGGATTGATATTAAATCTTCAAGACTAAAGGTATTTTAATTTTTGTTTTTATCTTTTAGGATTCTCCTTTTACAAATGCAGGAATGGGATCTAATCTAAATCTCCTGGGTGAAATTGAATGTGATGCCAGCATAATGGATGGAAAATCCTTAAATTTTGGAGCTGTTGGAGCATTGAGTGGTATGTGGACACTGTAACACACTATCTTTGTTCTTTATAAAACTATGAATATTACCATTCCATGGCATCTAAAGACCTAGTCCAGTTTTTTCCACCGTTCTTAATTGGAATAATGTTAAAAACAAACTTAAAAAATTTTTTTTACTAAATTCAAAACATGAAATTTTAGCTGTATATAGTCTTTATTAGAGTTTGATCATTCTCCATCCCCTCAAGAGATTATAGACATTTCAAATGTGTTAGCATATTCTCTTACTTTTATAATTATTTGAAATAATAATTTTATAATTACTTGAAATAATGTATTTTTGTTGTTAACAAACTCATATGACAGACAAGAATACCTCAGAAATATTGTGGGTTCTGTTCCAGACCACCTCTATAAAGTGAATATCCCAAAAAAGTATCACATGAAGTTTTTGTGTATATTAGAGTTAAAAAAAGATAGGCTCCCTTGGAATTTCTATACACACAATTATATCACCTGTGAATCATGGCAGGTTTGCTTTTTTCTTTCCAATGTTTAAATGTTTATTTATTTTTTTCTTGCATTATTATACTGCTATGACATCCAGGGCAATGTTGAATATAAGTGGTAATAGTGTACATCCTTGCTTTTTTCCTGATTTTAGAGCAAGAGCATTAAATATTTCACCATTTTGTATGCTGCTAGTTGTAGGATTTTCATAGATGCTCTTTATCATATTGAGAAAGTTCCCTTCTAATCTTAGTTTGCTGATAGTTATTATAAATGGGTATTGAATATCATTAAGTGCTTTTCTGCATCTACTGAGATATGAATTTTCTTCTTTATTTTGTTAAGGGAAATTTATGTTCCCTGCTTGGCATAAAATCTTCTTGGTCATAAGTTTTTATTTTTTATATTTTGCTGATGTTCAAGATTTTTGACATTTATGTCCGCATAATAGGCTTTAATTTTTCTTTCTTATAATATTCTTTTCAGGTTTTGGAATCATGGTATGGCTGGCCTCATAAAATGAGCTAAGGATTTTTTTTTCTCTCTGATCTTTGAAGGAGTTTGTGTATGATTGGAATGATTTCTTTTTAATTGTTTGGAGAAATTCATTAATTATTCTAAATTAGTAGTAGAGTTTTTGTGGGAAGTTTTTAAAAAAGGGATCCAATTTCTTTAACAGTTATAAGACTATATTTTCTTTTTCTCCTGTGTGTTTTTTCAAGGAATTTGTCTTATATAAGTGTTCAAATTTCTTAGCCTAAAGACTTTTTTTGTTAGCTTTCATTATTTATTTCTAGTCTTTAATTTCACTGTGGTCCTAAAACATACTCTGTAAGATTCCAAGCCCTTAAAGCCTTTTGAGACTTGCTTTATGGCCCAGATTATGATGTGTTTTTGATAAATGGTCCATGTGAACTTGAAAAGAGTATGTATCTTATAGTTGTTGGGTGCATGTTCTACATGTCAGGTCTATTTGATTATTCATTTATTCCAATATTCTATATTCTTTCTGATTTGTGTGATAAGAAATGGTATTTCAATTAGGTTTTATTTTCTTTTATTGTAAAATTTTATTGGTATTTAATAAAGTTTCACATGTTTAAAGGCCATTAACATTTTTCTGTGAACTGTTTATACCTCTTGTGTGGCTTGCCTTTTAAAACTCTATAATGTGCTTTATCATATTGGAATTTAAAATTTTTATTTGTCAAACTTATTTCTCTGTTGTGGATTTTGTATTTTGCATTTGTAAGGTTTCTCTCTCATAATTATGAGTTTGGTCACCTATATTTTCTTCTAATATGTGCATAATATATTTTTATTTAACTCTTTTTTGTTTTTATTTGTTTGTTTTAAAATTTCAACCATTAATGGCATTTTATTTAGGACAGTGATGGCGAACCTTTTGAGCTCGGCGTGTCAGCATTTTGAAAAACCCTAACTTAACTCTGGTGCCGTGTCACATATAGAAATTTTTTTATATTTGCAACCATAGTAAAACAAAGACTTATATATATTTTTTTAATATATTTTATTGATTTTTTACAGAGAGGAAGGGAGAGGGATAGAGAGTTAGAAACATCGATGAAAGAGGAACATCGATCAGCTGCCTCCTGCACATCTGCTCCTGGGGATGTGCCCGCAACCCAGGTACATGCCCTTGACCGGAATCGAACCCGGGACCTTTCAGTCCGCAGGCCGACGCTCTATCCACTGAGCCAAACCGGTTTGGGCAAGACTTATATTTTTGATATTTATTTTATATATTCAAATGCCATTTAACAAAGAAAAATCAATCAAAAAAATGAGTTCGTGTGTCACCTCTGACACGCGTGTCATAGGTTCGCCATCACTGATTTAGGAAGTTTCTATGTATCACACAGGTATTAACTTCCTCTCATAACCCCCCTAAAAATACAGAAAGATTAAAAAACAGGAAAAGCCCTTAACATATAAAATTTCAGTTTCTCTAAAGTCTTAGGTTAAAAAAGAAAAAGGTAGTGGCACTTCTCCTTTATGTGAAGAATTCAGTCTTTTCTTAGGCTCACTACAGATTTCTACTCCTTCCTGGGCAAAAAATGGTCAACGCTTCTGCTTCCTTTTAGTAAATTCATTTCTTGATTATTACACATTAGCATTCCCCACTTGACACCTTCTTAGACACTTGATTGTTGGATGCATTTCTCATTTGGCAAACATCCAACGTGGCTTTGCGTGGGATGTCTAAGTGTCAGGAACAGCAGTGTTGATGTTCTGCTTTTGAGGGGGAAATATATATAGCGACGCAGACATTCCCAGGAAGAACAAATGTAGGCGACTGAAAAGGGTGTGCACAGAGTGCAGAGGGCTGACAGGCACTGCGTGGTTTGAATTCTGTGGCCGTCAGCCACCGAAGACTGTAGTGCAGGCCAGAATATAAATCTTCGCAGAAAGAAGTTTGGTTGGACACTGAAATGGCAGAGCTGGCTTCATGTTGTTCCAAGGGTATCCAACAGATGCACACAAAAAGCAGTATGGGTCGTCTGCAGTGAGCAGTAGTCTGTGTGTGATCATGTATGGGCAGTTCTGGAAATGTTCTGTTAACGAGGCTCAGGGAGAAGGGACAAGAAGCATCCTATTAAAATACACTTCCACCTCTAACCTAAGCTCCCAGGCCTCCTTGGCTCTGTGATTCACAAGGCCAAAATGAAGTTCAAAGTGTGTCACCTAGGTCACCTGCAAACTGGTTCACTGGGCCATTTCAGAAGACCTGGCGAGCAGCAAGACTACCCAGAAGGTTATGCCTTGATGATCTTCACATCGTCCACAGGGCGGTCCTAGGAGTTTGTTTCCACCATTCCTACTCGATTCACCATTCCTATACCCTGGCACATGGGGCCAAAAATGGTGTGTTCGCCATCAAGCCACTGGGTGGGAGCTAGGGTCACAAAGAACTGGCCACCGTTGGTGTCTGGCCCTGCATTGGCCATTGCAAGAATTCCAGCCCCCGTGAATTTCAAGTCTGGATGAAACTCATCTTCAAACTGCTTGCCATAGATAGATGCACCACCTCGACCTGTTGGGTCACCTCCCTGGACCATGGAGGCTTTGATGATTCTGTGGAATTTGGTGCTATTGTAGTAACCTCGATGAGCCAACTCAGCAAAGTTCTTGCAGGTCTTTGGAGCATGCTTCCAGTACAGCTCCAGCACGATGGTCCCCATGCTGGTCTCCAAGTAGACGTTGGGCGGCTGCCAGGAGTCGGGGGTGGGGGTGGGGGGGAATAGCCGCCATAGCGGAGCCGGCGGAATCTTTCCCCAGCGGTTGCCACTCCCGGCGTCGATTCGCCGGGGACCCGCTGGTGCAGGGCACACTTCCAGTCCCCCCGGTTCAACCCTGCGATGCCAAGATTTGAAGAGTTGAGAAAAGGAAGAGGAAGGACACCACCTCCAAAGCCAGGAGGCTGGGGTCCGAGGCCTATTTAACTCTTTAAAAAAAAAAAATATATATATATATATATATATATACACACACACACACACACACACACACACACACACACATATATATAATTGATTTTTTACAGAGAGGAAGGGATAGGGATAGAGAGTTAGAAACATCGATGAGAGAGAAACATCGATCAGCTGCCGCCTGCACACTCCCTACTGGGGATGTGCCCACAACCAAGGTACATGCCCTTGACCGGAATCAAACCTGGGACCCTTGAGTCCGCAGGCAGACGCTCTATCCACTGAGCCAAACCGGTTAGGGCGAGACCTATTTAACTCTTAAATGCATTATTTATTTTTCTGAAATGACCAACAAATTGTCCCTACATAATTTATTGAATAAGAACAATAATAATTACCATTTATTAGATAACTATTGCATAATGTGCATTTTTCTCCAGTAGTTTATATATATTAAGTCATTTAGTTCTCACAATAACATGAGGTCAGTACTTTTCCTTCTATTTTACAGATGAGAAAACTGAGACACAGGAGAAGTTTAGTAATTTGTCCATGGTTACTGTATCAGTCTGGGTTCAACTAGGAGACAGAAACTACCCAGTAGTTTAAACAGGAGAGGTTTAATATAAAGAATTATTAAACAGTGATAAGAGAGTAACTCTATAAAGATGGAAAGAAAACTCAAAGTGTATTCTAGGACAGAAGAATACTGAAGTAGGGATTAACTTGGAAGGGAATTCAGACCTTGTTGTAGAAGGTATGGTTGCAGCCCACTGTCAGGCGGAGAAGTTGCTGGCCATTGTCTCTGTGAGAGCAGGAACAATCTTGGGTGGCTCAGGTGAGCTTGGCCTGGTAGGTGGGCACACAGAGGTCAGGAAGCCAGGTAACTAAACCTCTGTTGCACAGGATAGCAATTGGGCTTTTGGCTCATTAGTTAGTCAACTAGGTGGAGCATTTTACCATGTGTGCCTGTCGGACTGAGGAGAAGATGAGGGGATCAGTGACTTGAGCTGGGTGCAGCCCTATTCTTTCTGGGGCTGTCAGCTATGCTGCCATGGCCTGAATCAAGAACTGGGGAAAACATGTGGCGGCCAAATGCTGGAGAAAACTGTACCCTGCAGTCACTTAGCACTGGAGACTACCATGTGGGCCAAATAGTGGAGAAAAACTGGTATTCTCCAGGAGCTGGACAGCAAGCCACCCTTTCCTCCTGTAGTGTGTCTCCAGTGCCCTCTACTGACAAAGTATATCAGTGTGCCAGCTGGCAAAGGAAACATTTAAAGGGCCCTTTTCCATTTTTACAGATCAGGCAACAAAGGATGAATTGGTAGCCGAGAACCAATAAATTGATAGCTGGTACAGTAGTAAAATAGTTGGATCTCCAGCACTTGTGTGTTCTTTCTGCCTCTCATATGTACCCTATTTGTGCCCTACTCATTTGAAAACTATCTGTATCACATATTAAATATCCAAATTCATGTGTGTCTGTGTCTGAAGTTTAGCTTTATTCTATTCAATTGATATACTTGTCTATTTTGTACTCAAACCACACTCTTTTCATTAGAATAGTTTTTAATGAAAATGTTCTCATTGGGTGAAGTCTTAATTTTTTCCCAAAGTTTTCTCTTTCTAATGAATTTAAGAGTCAGCTTGGCATACTTCAGAAATTTTTTGAAGTTTTGAATTAATAGAGAATTTGTAAGTTACTTTGGTAATTGTTAATGTCTACAATATTGAGTCATTTATCCAGAAATATATTTAAGAGCTCAGAGACCTGAGCTTTTCCAATCTTTGGTATTTTATACATTTTTTTGTGTGACAGTTTTTTTTTAATGTCAATATAGTGGTCTTAATTGTAATTTTTATAGCCGCTTTATATCCCACTGCTGATTTTATATTTGCATTAGTAGTGTCCTGAGAGGCATCATAGCTTAGTGGTTTAGGGCATAGTCTCTGGCATTAGCTGCCTCTGTTAAAATCTCAGCACTAATCTTGGGCAGGTGAGTTAACCCTCTGTGAAAATGTTTCCTCAGTAATGAGATAGGGCTCATAAGGGTATTTATGTGAAAGGTTGAAGGGATCAATTAAGTAATCTGATTACATTTAAGGGATTGGCACTAGGTCTGACACGTATTAGATACTGAGTTACTGTCACTGTCTTCTGTCCTTATCATTGTCATATTTGTTGTTGTCATTGTCATCCTGATATAATGTTTTCTCACTAATACTTACTGCCGTCATTCTTCCCAGATAAGTGCCCATTTTTCACTTTTCACATTCTGTTTTCCTCCTGGAAACAATCTGAATCATACTTTAGGTTACAATCTGAACTATACTTTAGATCACAATCTTGTATATACTTGGTCTATTCTCCCTACCCTTACCTAGTTTGAAGGACTTCCTCTATATTCAGTCCTTCTTACAGGTGAGATTTAAAATATTTGGCCATTAATTTTCCTCCCCAATTAAATTTGAAGCTGTTTGTAATCATGCTTATTTTTTAAATATTTTTATTGATTTTCAGAGAGAGAGGGAGAGAGAGGGAGAGAGAAAGAGAAACATCGATGTGAGGGCAGAAAATCAGTTGGCTGCAGGCCCCCCACCAGTACCAAGCCCACAACCCGGACATGTGCCCAGACGGGAAATGGAACCGGCAACCTTTTGGTGCATGGGACGATGTCCAACCAACCAAGCCAAGCTGGCCAGGGCAATTCTTTAGAGGAAATATATGGTTTTGATTGTAAATGTCACATTTTCAGTTTATTTTTCTATTCTGTTATTCTGAAATCTATTAAAAAGGAACCTAATTTAAATATGTATTATTTCAAATTCAGTTTTTGCTGCTGTAGCATATGACAAAACACGAGAAGGTATGTTTTATATTTGTTCTTTTCTTGAATTTACTAGGTATTCATGTAGTTGTTGATTTGATCTGTATTGTTTATGATAATTAATGGTTTTTATTAATATATAAAAGGAGAGTTTTCCAAGATATTTAAAACTTGTGATTATTGAAATTGCCACAAAACTGAGTGGGAAAGTTGAAGACTTTTTTACTTCATTTTCTGCTAATTTTATTTTATAGGAATCAAGAACCCAGTCTCAGTTGCGAACAGACTCTTGTGTGAAGGGCAGAAGGGCAAGCTCTCTGCTGGCCGGATTCCTCCCTGGTAACCACTTTGTTCTGCCTGACTTTCCCTGGGTCTTTGGTCTTTGGTGCATGCAGTGTTTGAAGGCTATTTTTATCCACAGAAGGTTGATGCTGTTGGTTGTACACCAGCGGTAGCTTGCCTTTGAGTTGAAGACTCACTTTGTTCTGTGATCTTTGTACACTTGATAGAACTCCGGATGGAATTGAATATTGTGGATTAAAGCAGAAAAGAGATCAGAGTTATTTTTGGTTTTGTAGTTGATTATAGGGATGTTTTTGCTGTTACTAAGTACTCAACTGGGGTCTTTTTATTATGAAACTTTAAAAGTGTCTTGCACATTCTAGTCCAGAGTCTAAACTAATTGTTAATCTTGAGGAGTTCTTAGAAAAAAAGTACTTAATTTTTCTCATCTGCAGAAACACATTGTGACACTAAGATTAGTCAGATCACATCTCTTCTCCAGCATTAACATACAATTCTCATTAAAAACACTTTGAACTTTTCAAATAGTTATAAGAGTAGAGAGAATGTTGTAAAGTGCCCTCATGAACCTGTCATCCAGCTCCAATAATTAACAATGCTTTTGCTCTTCATCTCTTTAATGCATATATTTTTTCTCCTAGCATTTTAAAGCAAATCCTCGACATCCTATTTTACCTTCAGATAGTTCTGTAAATTTGTTTGCAAAGCATAACCACCATCCTGTTAGCATGTCTAACATTATTAACAAATATGCCTCAATACTGTCTCATACTCAGTATGTGTTCAGCATGCCAGGCGTGAAGGTTACATTAGTGTTCTGTGTGAAAGCTATGACAGTAGTACTGTAGGAATCACTTTATTTGACTGTTATAATTTTAAGTCATAGAAAATAAATTTATTAATAGTTTTGAAAAATCTTGAAACCTTTTACCTAAATAAATTAAAGGTATTCTTTTAATCATATACTTCTTAGGTGTTTAATTGTGGTATTAGAAAGGTTGATTATTTAAAATTTTCAAAGAAATATTTTTAATATTTGTTTTCAATAAAACAAGGGTAAGGGAAAGCAATCTCTAATATGTGTTTCATTATTTCCATCATGTTTAAGAAGTATAAAGTTAAGAAAAAGACAACCAAAATTCTAAAAATTAATAAAGGATACAAATAGACAACTTATAGAAAAGAAAATATTGATGACATATAAATACGTGAAAAGGTGCTCAATCATATATGAATCAAGGAATTGTGAATTAAAATGATACGATATTTTCACCTTATTTAAAGTAGTAAAATTAACTAATAAGACTAATTAGACTAATTATTAGACTAATATCCAGTCTTGTTGAGGGTGTGGAAAAATAGGATTTTTGTGTTACTAGTGCTGGTGGGAACATAGATTGATATAGCTACTTGAGAGACATTTTGACATTATTGATTAATGTAAAAATGACAATGCACATACTGCTTGCTCCAGCAATTACACCTTAAGACAGAACACCTTCACATGTACCCAGGAAGGCTTGTGCAGCAAAAGAGGGCTACAGCAATGTGGCTTGTGTATAAAACTATACACAACCTAGGTGTCCATCAATGGCTAAGTAAACTATTTTCTGGTTGTATTATTAACTATGTAGCATAAATGAAACAGAGACACATTTATATATAGTAACATGCATAGATCTCTAAGTTGCTGAATGTGTTCAGTTTAGTTTATGTTTCCTTAAAAAGTTACAAAATAATGTAATGAATACCTGTTTCCTACCACCCAGGTTAGGGAATAAAATATTACCAAAGATTTGAAGCTGAAGCTTTCTAATGGGATCCTTATCCTTCCCTTTGTCTGTCCTGTACTTTTACCCTGACCCCCATCTCTATCCCTGCCCCTGGGTAACAGTTGTCTTGCTTGAATGAAACTTTTCTCTTTCTAATTTGTTCCTTCATAGAATCACATTACGTATAATAGTATAATTTTCTAAGACACACACACACACACACACACACACGCACACACACACACACGCACACACGCGCACACACACACACTAGAGGCCCGGTGCACGAAATTTTTGCATTCGGAGGGCGTCCCTCAGCCTGGCCTGCGCCCTCACTTGGGGGATATCTGACTGACTGCCATCAGTCAGACAACACAACCTTAGCGCTGCCACGGAGGCGGGAGAGGCTCCTATCACTGCTGCTGCGCTCGCCAGCCGTGAGTGCTCCCCCTGTGGGAGTGCACTGACCATGAGGGGGCAGCTCCTGCGTCAAGCATCTTCCCCCTGGTGGTCAGTGCGCATCATAGTGACTGGTCATTTCGCAGTTTGGTCAATTTGCATATTAGCCTTTTATTATATAGGACACACACACACACACACACACACACACACACACACACACACACACATGTGGTGTGGTCTGGAAAGAAAGTTACCAAACTCACTGATTATTTTTGGGAAGGAGGAAAAAGGGAACAAGATGAGGTAATTATCAAAGAGGACATGTGTAATATTTTTATATTTTCCAAACATAAAATATGTGGGGAAAAAGTGATGGCCATTTTTCCACTAAAATGATGTCATATAGTAATCCTACACTTGTTTGGAACCAGCTATCTGATTTTTTCATGTACATAGTTGTTCTGCTTTGTTCTTTGTTTTCAAATTGTTTCGACTATTTTAGGCATTTTACATTTCCATGTGATTTTTAGAATCAGCCTGTCAATTTCTATAAATAGCTGCTGGAGTTTGATTAGAATTGCAACATATCCATTTACTAAGAATTTCTTTAACTTTTCTGGATGGTGTTTTATAGTTTTCACTATACAAGTCTTTCACAGCTTTTATCCAATTTATTCTTAAGTACTTCATTCTTTTTAATGCTTTGATAAATTGCATATTTTAAAAATGTTAATTTTCAATAGTTTATTGGCAATATATATAATTATATGAATGATTTTTATTATAGTGATGTTCTATCCTAGGAATCTGCTATACTCATTTGTTCTAGTACCACACTTACAGATTCCATAAAATTTTCTACATGGATAGTCATGTCTTCTAGGGATCTAATTTCACTTCTGCTGTGATAATCTGGATTCCTTTAATTAATTTCTTTTTCTTTATTACAGTTGGTAGGACCTCTGATGCAATATAGACTAGAAGTGTGATAGTGGACATTCTTGCCTTGTTGTCATCTTAGGGAAGTAACATTTGGTCTTTTACTGTTAAGTATGAAGGTTGCTATAGATTGTTATAGATGCTCTTTTTTATGTTGAGGAAGTCACCTTTTCTTTTTCTGCTTCATTTATTTTGTGTTTTTTTAAAGATCCATTTTGATAGATATATGTTCATTGCCATTTTGTTCATATTTTTAATCTTTATTTTTCTTCTTATTTTTCTTAAAGAAGACCCTTTAACATTTTATGTAATATTGGTTGTGATGGTCTCCTTTAGCCTTTCCTTGTCTGGGAAGCTCTTTATATGTCCTTTGGTTCTAAATGATAGCTTTGCTGAATAGAGTAATCCTGGTTGTAGGTCCTTGCTTTTCATCACTCTAAATATTTCTTGCCAATTCCTTCTGGCCTGCAAAGTTTCTTTTGAGAAATCAGCTGATAGTGTTATGGGAGTTCCCTTTTAGGTAGGTAACTGCTTTTCTCTTGCTGCTTTTAAGATTCTCTTTTTCTTTAACCTTTGGCATTTTAATTATGATGTGTCTTTTTGTATGGGCCCCTTTGGGTTCATCTTGTTTGGGACTCTGCACTTTCTGGACTTGCATGTCTATTTCCTTCACCAGGTTATGGAAGTTTTTCATCATTATTTTTTAAATAGGTTTTCAATCTCTTGCTATTTTTATTCTCCTTCTGGTACCCCAGCGATGCGAATGTTAGTACGCTTGATGTTGTCTCGAGGTACCTTTATACTATCTTCATTTTTATAGGTTCTTTTCCCTTTTTGCTATTTTGATTGGGTAGTTTTTACTTTCTTATATTTCAAATCATTAATTTGATTCTCTGCTTCATCTACTGTACTGTCGAGTCCCTGTAAATTATTCTTCATTTCAGTTGGTGTATCCTTCATTTCTAACTTTTTTTAAGGTTTCCATGTCTTCCTTTTTTTATGGTTCCCATGTCCTTTTTTATGCTGCTGAAGTTCTCTCTAAGTACAACTAATCTTCCCCTAAGTTCATTGAGCATCCTTATAACCAGTGTTTTGAACTCTTTCTAGTAGTTTGCTTCTCTCTATTTAGTTTTTTTCTGGAATTTTCTTCTGTTTTTTCATTTGGGACGTGTTTGTCTCCTCATTTTGGCAGCCTTCCTGTGTTTGTTTCTGTGTATTAGGTAGAGCTGCTACATCTCCCAGGCCTAATGTAGTAGGTGTCCTGTAGGGTCCAGTGGCATAGTCTCCCCCATCTCCCAAGTTGGGCACTCTAGGTGTGCCCCCCGAACCTGTGTGCACTTTCTATACCTTCCTGTTATAACTGACCCTTGATTGCTGCTGACACATCAATGGGAGCGATATACCCCAGGTCAGTTGTCTGCAAGGACTTGTTGTGACCACTGACTACCATAGAGGATCAGCTGTGCAGGGTCCTGCCTCACAAAACAGGACTTACTTCAGTGGGGCTCTGGTGCCTGCCAAGTCTTCCCCTTGAGTGTGTCACTGTGGTGGTGGTTGGATGGTGTTTTGATGTGGTCTGAAGCTGTCTAGTGGGTGCACTGGCTATGGGGCCTTCTGAGCTGCTACCTGTATTTTGCCAGGGTCACCCAGTTTGAGCTACAAAGTGATCTACAGATGGCTGCTACTTGTGGTAGGCTTGGAGGTACCCAAGAGAGGCAAAGCTGCGAACCATGGCCAGTTGCTGCTAGTGCCGAGTCTGGAACCACTTAGTGAAAAGTACAGGGTACACTGAGGCCAGATGCTGCTTGTATGAGAGATTTTAGAAAAGTCTGAAGTGTGAGCCAAGACAGACCATTCATATGGAAAAGCGACTGTAAACAGCTTGGGTAGGCTTGCAAGTTTGTTGGGGTGGCGTCTCAGGGA